TAGGTAGTCTTGAGTAATGCAGTGCGCACGTAGATATTGCTTCAATGGCTTGAGCTTCTAGAATGGGTACATGTACTTTTCATTATGAATTATACCTTTTGAACATCTCATTTAAACAAGTTTATTCCCACATGCAAGGCTCCAATCATACACAAACTTGACCCCTCTATGTAAATAGGGCACTATTCCTTGGTTGGCAAATGTACACCACAGTGTACTACTCATATGCTAGTAATAATCATTCTTTTATTTACTGGTAACATGTTTAAGAATGGGTAATGGTTACATGTTATCAAAATACACATCTCTCCAGAATAAGAGCACATTTGCATGTTGTTCAAAATGTCACTTTTCTGTTATCAACAAACAAAAATGTGCATTTTCTTGGTACATGTACATACACGTACATGTACATGTACATATGTACATGAACCAGTACAGACCTTTAGATGTACAAATTTCAAAATTTTTCTTGAATGAAGCATTGATGAATATTGTGGTAAAATACAAGACAATGAACGTGTCATAAACACGACAACATATTTTGCATTTTTTCTCTCTTGTTTTTCGTTTTGGTGTCTTGTAACAAGTGCACCAATGATTGGAGACATGCTTCAATGCTTTCCCTCCTTGTGAAGCCTTGGGGAAACTGTGCTTCTCGCTTATTTGTTTACTTTAAAAGGACTTGGTGTAGACAAACTGGTCCCAATAGCAATGTCCAGTAATTGTTTGATCAGACATCCTGCTGTAAAAACCTGCAGAAAGTCTCCAGCCTGGCCAATCCATAACCCTATTGATCACTTCCTACGGTGCCAGTACATGTACAATGTATACACTGTGTTGCTACAATCCAAGAAGATAAAGTACACGTGTACATTGTACATGATTCAAGGAGTACCGGTACATGTACATGTACTGTAGATGTACAAGAACCTGCCTGGGTTTGGTTTAAACCTGCAATGATTACATGTACATGTACAATGTTAGGGATGGGACATTTACACGTTTAAATGAAAAAAGTTCCAAATCTGTTTACGGATTTTCCCAAAAGTTTTAACGAAACCGCACCTTGACAGAGGTCTGACGTTTTGATCAACACAATCTGGTGTTGATTTTTTATTGCAAACACTACCTGTTACATGCTGTTTTTTTCCCCTTTTGGCATCCATGTATATTGTACATGTAGTTTTGGAGAAAAACAGAGCGGATTCTAAAACAATAAACACTGCTTGTTTTAAATGGCCCAACATCACTCTACATCTTTGAATAGGTTTAGACCACATGCATTGTTGAACTACTGGTAATTTTGCATACCCGGTACGTGAAAACACTGAGGCAGGTGGCGGCAGCCTTTGTAAAGTGTTGGCTAAACATTAAAACAGTATGGCAAAGTTTTTGTAAACATTTTTCAAATTAAATGTAAATTCCCACCTTTATACTCCCATACATGTACATGTATGTAGCACAAATGTTACAAACAAGCTAATTTGATATCATGTGCATAATCTACATGTACATGTATGTATGTACATGTAACCCTAACCCTCCTCAATCTTACAAAATCCTTCAAGCGGTTTTGGAGGACTTTGGAAGATTGAGGATGAATGGCAAAAGTGCAAGGCTGATTGTGAAGGATGCCACGAGTGAAGGTCGTGTGTTAGACTTTGTGTTGTTTTTGCTTAGTCAAGCACAAATTCAGCCCGATATTTCTTGAATCAACTGCACTGCTCAAGAATGCCATTCGCACTCTGCCTCAACATGACAGGAATTGCCGCAGGATTTTAAAAGATTGAGGCAGTTGGCGCTCCTCCAAGAAAATTTTAAAGACATTTTGGAGGATTGAGGATGGTTCTTAGTAAAAAGGCCTAAGGGTTAGTTATAAAGGTACAGAGTCATTATTTTTGCTTGAACCTATAACCTGACAATTAGACATAATAAAACGGATATAATACAACTGTACATGTGAAAAAAAGTAAAAAAAAAAAGAAGCAAAGTCAAAGGGTTAGTAAACTCCACCACCAAAGTCTGCTACTCAAGTTTCACTGAAGGTTAGAATGGACAATCCCATGCAAACTTGGCAGACAAGCGAGCTCCACTGCCTTGGTGAAGCGTACACATTGTTCACTTCAACACACTATACACACTTGGGTGTGTGAGCCAGTACATCTGGCTCCTCCACATTATCAAAGCAAAATTTTAGTACCTACCGGTATGCGCTGTTTTCCATGCAAGCTTTCTACTCTGGGTTCCCGATTTAGTGTTGTTGTCAGAAATAGAATCATTGCAAAAAGACTGATGGGACCAGCCTTAAAGTTCAAATGACAATGTCATTGAAGTTCTACGTGGCCAGGCACAAACTTGGCAATTTTTTAATTAAGGAGCGCAACGACATGTACGTGTACACGCAACTTAACATGTAAAGTCCTTTTATCCGAATCCGAGGTACATGTACTCCTGGTACTTCCAGGATTTCATTGATCACTGACAGCAGGAAATACCCACAGACTGTGCAGTGCCAAACATATGGAAACTGAAGTTCTTATCAGTAGGCAGTCTAGTCCGATTGTAATTTGTCATATGGGAGAGCCCTCAGTTAGTCCTAACATACAGCCAATGCGAACAGTAACCAAAAGTTAGTGCTTGGACATATCACAGGGCGGTGCAAAACCTGTATTTGCTGCTCTGTGCACACATGTAGTCAATTGCAAGAGCCTCCAGATGTAACTGTTCCTTCACTATTCCACCCAATTTAAAGTCAGTGGACTGGGAGGGGCTTGCTTCAGGGCCCAATTGCTAATAAATAGGGCATCTAGAAAAGCCGGCTGGCATGCAAGGTACATGTAAGCTATGGCATAAGAGCAATGAAGTTTTACCAAAATGTACCAGAATGACATGCATTTGATGAGAAATCATCAAAAAGTTCAACTTCATTAGTGTCTCCGCACCTACCCATTCTGTTTTTTTAAAAAAACATGTGATTAAAGTTCACCTACTGTAAAAAACATGCCATCGGAATTGAAAACAACCTATTTTACATACATGTACAGTGTACACCTTTCTTTAACAAAGTAATGCCCCAAGCAGTAACCATTTCGCAGAATTAATCTTACATGTATATTGGTTAACATTGAACGGAAAAGAAGGAACAGACACCTCATGCCATGTTAGTGGACTAACAGTGTGACATCACTGGTTCTCTGCAGGCTCTAATCTACAGAAGCGCAGACTCACATCACAAAATGCACGATTACCAGCAAAACCTGGGCCTGCAGACTACAGGCAAGGAGGTCTCTTTGTAAAACATGTCCGTGTTTTTGTATGGAATGCTGTATTCAAGGCATTGAAGGTTCCATAAGGACACAAGGCTTGAAAATTGTTCATGTAAAAAGTAAACTTCCAAAAGTTTGTGTTACCGTTAAGTACAGTACATGAACAGAAGTGTAATAAATCAAGGAATGTACACAATATATGTACATGCTTTGACTACATACATGTACATGTATACCAGTATTTCTTGTATGACATCAAAAAAATTCCACTTCTAATAAAGATCTTACAATATTGACCAAACTTGCTGAACGAGGTTTTAGTTTCTGGAACCATAATTAGGAAAAGGAATCACTGACTCATTGAGATTGGTTTCTCTCAGTTACACAACACACCTACATGTACATGTAACAGTCACAAAGTTTACTTTCACTTTCAGTGTACATCGTAGAGGAAGGACACAGAAGGAGTTGCAGCTCTGGCACTTCAAAGTGCTCAATGATCCTCGCCACAGAGTCCGATGAATAAAAGAAAAAATTTCAATGATGCCTAGTTACTGCCTGCATCTTAGCTGGACAAGCGGGGCCTGTGATATCCTAACAATACTAGTAGCGTTTGCTTGCAATTTAATACAAATTATTGCAGTGACCAGGAAATAGAGAGAGAAAAATCCCTGATATTAGACCTACTGTTCCATTGTCCATGCAGAGTTTTTAATTTTATGCTCCTCCATCCAATACATCAGTGTTCAATGTTTTCGTACCAATTTGGCTAAGATTGGCCAACAAAATGTTGACCACTACTAGAAAGCCAAGTGTACAGTGTACATAAAGAACAAAATGCCCTATTTCATCACAGGGATGTACAAATGCCATTATAAAAATGATTCAAGAAAAACACAAAACCTTGTGAACGACGAGGTAATTTATTCTCAAAATACGGTAACATCAGAAGAAAGCATTCATTAATTACTTAAGGGCAATGACTGCACATACACCTGTACATGTACATGTATATGTAGGGCACATGACATGGCGTATTTAAGGATGCAGATTACCAGCGAAAAATTGCGGTGGCGATCATGGGTACAAAGGGGTTTCATGGTTGTGAAACAGATGGTGCATAGCTAGCACTCGCTGTGCTCTGGCTATGGACATACGTGTACTGGGCATGCCAGAAAGCAGTAATTGGTAAGATGTTCTAGTCCGCGCAGTTCAAACTCCTTCTGAGTCCTTCCTCTGTGGTGTACATGTTCTACAGTCCACTCTCGCACAACAGTCGATTCTGACAATCCCAATTTCTGGAATTCTTTTCCACTGATTTTTCTGGTCCCATAAACTTTTGTACTGAGAGTTAGCTGTACAATGTATACCGGTACATCAGATGGGAAAACAAAAGTACCATACGTGATACTCAAACATGCAGAAAAAAAAACAAACAAGTAACAAAGCTCACTACATGTAAGTTCAACACAGACACACAATACAAAGAAAGTTGTGTACAAGTATATGTACCTATACACCTATGTACATGTACATGTATGTTAGTAATGTACATACATGTATGTTAAACAATTTCAGTTTCTGAGGTTTCTGATTTTTATTTTTTGTGGAAGTCCTTTCAAAGAAAACTAGAGCCTTGATGTGTGTGTGTACATGTACATACAAAGAGACCCCTTGCTTGGTCCACGCACATTTGCCACGATTTGCCAAGGAACTGCGATTCACACTTACTCCAGTTACTGTTCACACTGCCATAATAATCGTTCCGGCCATCAACCAAACGAGCTGTGGTCGGAAACATGGAGGAAAAGTGGCACAAAACGTCGCTGGTTAATAATTGGCTGCGAAAAAAACCTGCTCAAATAGGAAAACTTGGAAGGTAAAAACTGGTTGAAAAAATAGCACAGGCTCGGCTACAGCCCGTTTGAGTTTATGATGGTTTACAATGAAACACAAATTCACAATCAAAAGAAAAAACTACAATTGACTGACATAAGTCAGAAGATAACATACAGCATTTCAACAACATGTACTAGGGATAAGGTTCTTTCATTTCTGAATCATTTATTTCTTTTTTCTAGTTTATAATTTACCATATGCATACATGTACATACATACATTACAGCTACAGCCAGCAAATTTTTAATAAAAGCCACCATTTTAGCCACATGTACATTGAACATTTTTGCAGCAGCATGTACATGTACATACATGTAGTAAATACTTTTTGAACGCAGTGCTATCTACTATCTACTACCTACTATCTTAACTTTACTGCCAAAGCATGCAAATGAAAGTATTTGTCATTTGGCCACAGAAGCAGTTGGAACTCTGTGAAGAATCATTAACAAGGAACATATGCCCGTGTGTCTTCACAGACATCTTGTGATTAATGAGTCGGCTGATGGGAATGAGAAATACACGTATGAACATGTACCAGGGCCAAAGTCACAAACATTACATATATGTATAAAAACTATAAACAGAGCCCAAAGAGCCAAGTTTAAAAAGGCCTATCAAAGATTCTTTCCCCCTAAGGAATGCTTAACATACTTGTACATGTACATGTATTCACCCACATAGTACATGTACATGTGAGTACCCTTCTTCATTACTTATGTCAGGATGCCAGACTACATGTACATGTAGGTGATACAAGTGCCACAAAGCAAAGAGCTCAGCTCTGAGCTCTAAAACTGAACCAGAAATTTACTTTAGAAAAACTAAGACTTAAATGTACATGTGTAAGACTCATTTTGTGGGATCTTTTAACAAGATACACGTACAAGTAGCTTTTCCTTGACTCATAGACAAGCCAAGCAGACTGAATCCAGAATTTTATCAGAACGGAAACACACACTACGTGACAGGTACACACAAAACAAGAGCAAACTATTCTATGATCATGTTGTGCATTAACTTTTCTCAAGGCTGGCACTGGATTGATACCACTTGTAATTACAAAACTCCCTGTCAGACTGAGCAGGTGCAAACATGTAGATCTACGACTGTTTCTTTTATGGGCGAACATGGTCCTTTAACAAAACCGCAGGACTGGCCCAAATGTAGTCGGGGCACAAGACGTATTGACCAGGAAACAGTCGCTGGTTGCACTCCCAACCATCGCAATCAACAAGTCTTGTGCTCAAACCATGCATAGGCCACTCATGCGTGTTTCTAGGAGGACCGGTTTTCATCCTTGAGTTAGCATGGTTATTGTGGATTCAACATCTCGATCAATACATTTGAAAGGAGCAGGCTGCGAGAAGTTTAAGTGCTGTGAGTGCGTCGAGCGAAAACGGTCGGATTGTGACAGATTTTCATGTCAGAAATATCATTGAAGCCCCAACTGTTTGACGTTGGCATTCAAGGAAGACAGTAGATGGCGAAAGACGTAATTTTTGGTGAGTCTTTGGAATTTCGAGACCGTTTTCACCTTATTAGGCCTATATGTACAGGCATGGAGCGTTTGTATGATGATCCCGTCCAAAATCGAAAAAGAGGAATACTAACGCTCCACTAGTATAGGCACTAGGCCTACATGTAGTATAGTACTACAGTACATGTACAAACAAGTGTCATTGCGTGGTTTTGAGGCTGAGCCACCACGACGCCATGATGCCCAGTCAGCAACGGCATGGCAAGCCGTGTATAATGTACATGATGTAGTATAGACCTACTGTCACAGGCTGTAGCCAAACATGCCAAGTCAACATGCTATGGCCCCACTACGGGTCGTTAAGTGTACGGTACGGACACAGGCCTAGCAATTCGAGTGTGTACTGTAAAGTTGTTCCGGCAACTTACCATACTTTTTTGATGAATGGTCTTCGGGTGGTTCATTGCCACCGACTACCTCCACTTTCGGAGTATTTCCTGCACCATCGAGTTCTATGTCATCCGGCGCTTTTGACACCGTAAATCTGGCGGACATTGTTGATCAAAAATCAGCTAAATATAGGAAAATTCCAACCGATCAGTACGTGTTACAACTTCGCACACAGTTCTCGCGCTTTCGCGTTTACGTGCGTTAATTCTTCACATCTCCCCCGTGCATCAGCCTCGTTCCCAAGGGTACGGGTACGATTCGCCGCGCCATTTTGGTTCCCACTATGGCCGTTTTCCAACACTCAACTTTGTCTCTGTCTCAGGTTCGTCTCTGAAATAAATCTGATTGTGGGCCGGAAGTGTTTAAATTAAATTGAATTAAAATACTATAATATTTAGCTCTTCTGCATCTTACTTGATTTTTGTGACACTATCAGACTTACTATTGCGCTTACAACTTCAAAGTCAAGTAGTAAAAAAAAAGTTGAAGCTGCAAAGTCGAGTATTGGAAAACGGCTGGACGCCTTGTGCTTGTCATACGTGACGGAACGCGCACGCAGCCCGTGGATCGAGGTGCAAAATGAGAGCCGTACTGGCGCCCTCTCTTGACAATTTATCAGATGTCTTTGACTCATTGCGGAAGGGTTCCCAAGTTTAAACTGAACTCCTGCGAAATGATTTCGATATTCCTCACAAATTCTGATCTTCAATTTTTTAACGACCTAATATAAAAGTTTCCGGCTCAATTTTCAAATATACACAGAATTAAGTGTCAAAAATTGAGAAAAAATCACTGTAATACAGTTAAATGCCTATAGGTATCATCTGAAAAATCATTCTAGAAACGATAAAGCAGACGGATTACGACGTCGTCAGCCTACACCGTCAAAAGAATAATTTAAACTAAATTTAAGATTGCCTTCTACTTACAATGTAGCCTAGTCCAGTGATTTCATATTGCATAAATGGAGATCAAACTAAGGCCAATCCCTACATTTGTACAGGTCCAAGGTATAGGACCTCACTATGGGGGCACTCCAAGTCCACGTGGATTTCAACGCACTGTCAGACTGCTTCCACTATTTCTATCAAATTGAATGATTATACAAGGATAAATCTGCTTATTAAAACAATATGAAATATAAACTAATATCTGATACACTTTATTCCTACATTCCGGCGTCAGAAACTTCATTTCATGTGAACCCCCCCCCCAAAAAAAATTACCAAGATAGCACAAAGAAAGGACAAGGAACACGATTGTTTCCGTTGGTGAACGATTGGTATGGTCGTGCAGTGAACCTTGGCAATGACTTCAATATCTCAACTTTTTTTTCTCTCTCTTTCTCAATTAATATAATAACACTGTTAGTCGACACCACACATGACCTTTTCACTCAGTAAATTTTAGATACAATCAATAACTGTTAACTTTTTCTTCCTTTTTTATTATAACAACAGTACCAGGCAAAGTCGCTGTCAGCGTCTTCGCTTAGTAAGTTTCTAAGTCGATCGATATCTTCTGTGTTGTGCAAAATAATATTATTATCTCATTGCGCGCATTCAAACCTTTTTTTTGCCTCTAGAATTTCGATTAAAAAAATATTCAACTTGTGTTTTATTAATGATGGATGATTGAGTAACCAGACTTGCTCCCAAATTCAGAGCATTTTTATATCAAGTGTACTTCTAATCCTCAACTGACTTCCACGGGAGCAAAGAGGTGAAGGTATCAGCTTTGAGGTGTGTGTTACGTGCGCTTTCGGTTTTCCACCTGCCTGGCTTTGAAATGAGTAATGCTGGAACGTGAGCATTGAAAGCTGCAGATGCATGCCCCCAGATCTAAAGCTATGAAGGCCATATCTCGACTATGATCTGTTCGGGACGAGGGGGTTTAGTGCATCTAACACTATTCCACGAGTAAGGATGTAGCTCAGAGGATGAGAGGTGCTACTGGCGCCCTTGTGGTTTCTTACAAGCTCAGTAGCCTACCGGTAGCCGGCAGTCTGGCGAATCTCCAAGTGCAGCGAAGTATCCGGCCTATTGTCACTGGGCAAGTGGGTATGTTCTAGATATTATGACATCTGCGCCTTGGCAAAACTAGTTTGATTTATCGATTATCGAGCAGCTTTCTCAAGTTAAGGTCCTCTAAACAAAGGAACTAGGCGTAAGATATGAAACATAACAGAAGACGTAGATCTGCCAGATGGACTGACGGGTGTCCATGAGATGCCACTATGCCTTCTAAACTAAATGTCAGATGCAATCGGTTCCTTTTTGATCGAGGGTGTGGCGTTCAGTCTTTTGAGGCCCTGGAGTGCAGTCTTCGCCATAACACTGTCTGTAGGAGAGGACAAGTTGGCTGAGGAGTCGACCCATTTGAAAGCTGGAGTAATGGAGTCATAGAGAAATTTCAGTCCTGTTGTAGCCAGGTGCGCGAGGTATAAGGAGATATGAAGCATATGGTGTACTATCTACGACACACATTTCTGTATCTCTGTAGGCAACGCAACTGCACGACAGGACTACACGACGGCTCCCTTGGATCGTATGGATTGAGTATGGAACTTATAAACTCTGTCTGTAAGGGCGCCCCATTTCCACCAGTATGTAATGAGGCGACGGCGAGAGCATGATGCGACAGCACAACCCAACGGCAAGACGAGACAGCACGACGCGACGCAGTTGTGGCAGCTATAGAGCACCATATAAACGAGCCCAATAGACCTTTTCACCACAGTCGCCATTAAAACAGTCTAGACTCACTATTTTCTTTTGTGTCGACCGAGGCCACTGACGGCCACCTAACCGTATCGAATACAAGGAAGACTGTTTGCTCGCGTGTCATCGTAATAGCTATAAACAACTACGTTCCAATTGGATGAGAGTATTTTAAATTTCCCCACCACTGCCGCCACACCCACCAAAACTTTCAATTAGCTGGTCATGCTCTTTACCGAGAAACCCATGCACATAGGTCCATAAGTAGTGACAACGTCAGTCAAAAATAGGGCGCTATTTGGTTTGGGAAGTTTTTTTTGCATTTGCTCAAAATTTATCGACTACTGTGTATACTGCGAATTCCTCGTTGGGCATCATCTCGATGTAGGTCGAGTTAAGGTTGTGGAGGCGACACTGACCGTTTCCTGGCGCGAAGTCGAAGCAGTTACAATGGGCATCTCTGGCGCAGTAGCCGGCACACCTCATCAGCGACCTTACTACCTTTTTCGACAGGAGATGGGAGTTTGCAATCCAGCTTCTGTCACGCAGCATCTGAAATGCGGCAGTCCGTACTTCGCAGGGCTTACCAGTGGGCCTTACCGCTGAGAGTGCAGTTGTCGTAGTGTCTATGTGATTAGAGAAAGGGAAAGAAACAAGGTGTGTCTGACTCTCTTTCGGTCGTAAATATGATGGGATATGCGCACAGTCTGATTGGGCACTGCCCATAATGCAGCAGCGAGCATTTGGCGGTTTTGGATCATCTACGCCTGGAAATGGGACGACATAGGCTACATCTACGTATGAGGCTGGGTGAACGAAGCCACTGACTGTGGCTTTCATAAAAGCGTGCTCTTTAAAGATTTAGGCTCACAATTCAGATACGGTCCAAATTGGAAGCCGTCACCATGGACCTTTTCGCTGGTAAATCATTATGCAAGCATGTGCATAAATGGTTTGGCAGCAAAAAGTGTTCAACGTCATTTTTTTCTCAGGTTCGTGATTTTTAAAAACCGTTTTCCTCAACACATTCTCAAAAATCATCATGCGTTTTATTTTTCAGACTAAATTTTGGTTATTTGGAGTACAAAACTTAAACATTTCTTTCCTCCTACGCCAAAGAAGTCGATGGACGACAATTTCAGCATCCAAGTATTTTTTTTCGTGTTCGTACGCGTATCTGCATGACACGTACATGGGTCCGCATAACAATAAGGTTGCAAAATATAGTTTTAGCACGATTGGTGCGTTGGTATGTGCTGACGCAACGTAGCAACATTGATGGCTCTGATTTCTTCCAAAACAAAACTTATTCACCCCAAATAGAACTCAGAGGCACTCCTATACAGTATAGACCTATAGGCCTATATTGCGATATACCAAGCGTCGTGTTTTTTGGAAGGCAAAAGTTCAGTGGTGGATTTAACCAGCTGCACAAAGAAGTTTAAAGTGGCTCCATCGCATTAGCATTGTGACTAAACTAAGGTTTTTGCACTGCACGCTCGAATTTGACCGTCCAAGTTTGTACACCCCCCTTTCTGAAATTCCTGGATTCACCCTGGGATCACTAGGATGTTACTGTTTCAGTCTGGTTTCTAATAGTAAACCCTAGTGGAAATGGACACACATACTGTACTTGTCTGTGTCTGTCGTATATTTGATGTTAATAACATCAACACATCCTGTTAAAAAAGTCTTCCTTTTAACCTTTTTGCATCGCATGTATAGAATCATATCAAAAGTGACAATGCATATCATGAATGAGATATCAACTTTTTGGCATCGACAAAGATCGCGTTTTCTGATACATCACGCCATGAGGAACTGCTTTTTTACCTTGATACAAGACACCACATTATTATCTAAAACAAACTCCGTTAGAAGGGAAGCCGGTATAAGTACGTAGCCGATTCCTATAGGCCCATTACGTTCATATTCCAGCAGTTTGTGCTTGCCTTGCCTCGAGTGGGAGATAATAGTTTGGGGTTGTAAATTGCCCATCAACTGTGTGCAAATATGAGGCAGCGATCGATAACTGCCGCCTGGTATCGAGGATGAAGCGGACCAATCAGTCCTCTCGACTGAACCCAGTGTAGACAGTGTTCTGGAACTGTGTATGTGCTCGGAAGGGTGTGCGGGTAATAAGTAGGGGTAGCTTTTAATAATTGCGCGTTGGTCAAATCTGCTGGACGTGTATGGACGTCAAACGCTTTTCAGAAGTACGTGTGGGGGACATATTAAACCTTAATTGGTACTAAGAACTAATGGTAGTGCTTCGAGCAAGGCGTTATGCACGTGAGGTTTCTAGATGTTTTGTTGTGCGATCTGAGGCAATTTCGGACGACTGTCGCATTTTTAACGAATACTTTTGCAAGATGGATTTCATTTTACATGTAACTATTATATCAGAAACATGTATGAAATGTAGGCGTACTCCCCCTACATTTTTATACGTTCCAGGAAAATGTGAAAGGTCTAATGATATTGAATTCCCCTACTTAAAAAGCGCGGGGGATGACTTTCAGGAGTTGTTTTCTGGGGGAGCCATATTGGTGCCATTTTGTTGCCAATGGTAGCAATGTGACCGTAACAAGTGTATTTCCTAGTCATTTGTGAACCAGACAAGCGCCGTTACTATCAAAGGAACCTCCGTTGCTACGCCATCTCTTAGTACAGCTCGGAGCTCATAAATTTAAACTTCTTAAAGGGTAGCAGCGCAAGTTAAGATTGCCCACTGTAAAATATTATATAAGGCCGCTTAGGTTGAGCTAGGAAGACAACATTACGATTCATTTGCATCCTCCCTATTCCGTCCCAGCTGTGTACCGATTTTTCTTTTAAAAAACCTTCCAAACCAATGATTTTTAAGTCCGGTAAATATGCATACGTGAAGCTGTCGAAGATTTCAATAATCTTACCGTCAACCGCTCCACATTCTCCGTTGGTGTACTCTTTCACAGTCACTTCAGCCAGCTGGAGTAGAGCCTTAGTCACATCGTGGTGGGACGGGTCTATGTCTAAGGTAACGTATCTTGCCATCCGTGGAGTTTCACACGGGAATACAATCGTGGCCCCGTCGGTGCATTGGGCTCGAGCGGCGGGTGAACCGCACGGTTGGTTGTCGTTGTAGTTTGAGCCCAGGCCCGCTCGCGCCACTGCTGCCGCGAATCGGTATTCCCCTTTAAATTAAATGGAAGAAATGAACAGCAGGAAGTAGAATGACATGAGAGCTTCAATTAGCCGATCAACGGAAGGAGTCTTTGGAAATCATCTATTACCCAGGCTGTTAGAATAAAAGCTATCAACTTGAAACCTAAAAGAGCGGGGGGCCTCAACATTTCTCCTGACATTGCCGGAATGCAGTTTTATCAGGAGTTGAGTTTTCAGGAGTTTTCAAGAGGATCTCTTTGCGGTTGTTTTGACACCCATTTTGTTAAACTCGGACATCCCGTTCTTGCGCAGCGCGCATTTTTCTGAGACGTTTCAGCCAAAATGTGTACTTTTTCCACTGCAGTGCTCATAGGCTGGCACGTAATGTAGCATGAGGCTTGGAATGGCTCTATCAATAAAACTGTACGGCTGATTGAGTTCAGTCTTTATGAAAAGCAGTGTGTTTACATACATGCCAAGTTAAAAAAAAAAAAGAAATTTGAACGAGGTGCAACCGAGTTCTTGGGGGAGGGCGGAATCTGCCCCCCCCCTGTTGTGAGATGGGCCAACATAAACCCTGGCTCTTTTAGACTTAAATTCACACCAACGTTTAACATTAATTAGACTTGAAATCGAGTTGTCAGACCATCGTACCTGGCCTCTTGTGTCACCGATACGAGCCATCGCTGCGCTGATATTGTCAATACTTTGCCCGCCGTTCCGAACGTTAACGTTACGCCAGTGGTTGGCGACGCATACGTACCCACACTTTGGGCCAAGGTTGTACTGAACGTTCCCCGTACCGCACCGCATCCAGCGATGTTTATAGAGAGAGTTGCGACACGAGTGTCTCGATTGTTGGAACCAAAATGGTTGTTTATGCGTCAATGCATATGTCCAATTAGCATAAAGTAGCTGCATGCTGTACTGCGCACAGAAAGAATAGCCATTTTGGTTCCGAAGTCTGAAGTTGGCGCTATATCCACCCAACCCGGTATACGCGTCTGCGCAGGCGCATTAAACTCGGCCAATTACAGACTTCATTTCAAATCCTAACTTCATTCGATTTATACTCAATCAGATGTTCAGATAAATCTCCATGAATGCTTGCTATAGCCGGTTCTGTCGATTTGTTTTTACAAATCTGAGTGATGAGAGAAATCTTTACAAACAAACACATTAGCTGTCCACTTCAGCAAGTGACAGACTGTGGTTTTGCTCCCTACATAATTTAGTAAAAGCCAGGCAACTTCATATAAAAGCAAGATCAAACATCCAGGCAAAATGACCATTGATTTTCAAGCAGTAACATGTGGAAAATCCCTTCGTCAGAGGTATTCTGGTGCACGCTCAACTCCATTTTCAAGCTCAGTCATCGTGCCTAGCTTTTCCTGTCGCAAGAAGTGTTACAGCCCGGTTACTTGCATTCTTTGAAGACGCCCAAAAATAATTCTAAAATTATGAAAACCTCAACTTTTTCCAAAATGAGCTGGTTGGGGTTTTATCATTACCACAGCATCCAAGTCGAGTTCTGACTGTGATTTCACCCAAGCAGTGTTCAGCTCCAAGGTCCACTCGCCACCAGGGATGAGTGTCACCTTCATCTCCATTGTATGAAAAAGAGAAACGACGTGTTCATTGATTCACTCATCCCCACCACCCATACAGGGTGCTGGGAAGGGCAAATGTATTTCATGAAAATTTTTGTGGAGGAAATATGTCCCAGATACACCACAGACGTGCAAAGTATTGTGGGCTACAGGCTGACACGACAGGGACACGCGAAAGTATGCGTACATTGCGTTAAGGCCAGTTCATACTTTGCGCGAAAGCAAAAACGAACACGAATTCGTGACGCAAGACCGAAATATTTTCGAGTTACGAATTCGCAAAAGTTGAATACATTTCAGCTTGAGCAAAATTCGCTGCAAATTGTTCGTGAGGTCAAATTCGCTTCGCTTTCACATTCGCATTCGCCTGAAGTAAGAACTGGCCTTTAATGCATGCAGAAAAAAGTTACCCTCCCCAGTGCCTTGCAAAGGGCCTGAAATCATGACAATGTGAGGAAGACAATGAAGATGGTGACGATGACACTAAAGAGCAAGGTCAGTACATTATGGAAGTGTAGAAGGGCCATATGCAAAAACACTGTTTAAAGTAATTTTCCGCCAAGATCGGTTTTGGCCCTTTTACGCTTCCGTAGGTGCAGGACTTGCACGCACTGAACCAGTGGCGTAGCCGGAGGGGGCACTTGCCCCCCCCCTAACCAAATTTGCACCGCTCCCAAGTGCCCCTCCCCATAAAACTGGATGGATATTGAACAAGAAGAATGGATATTGAACAAAAAGATTGGATATTGAACAAGAAGAATGGATATTGAACAAGGCCAACAGAAGCTTGCCCCCAAAAGCCCTACCACTGAAAGCTGGTTCCCCCATAAGATGCTGGGGCCCCCTTGTGCCCCCCCCACTAGTAAAATCCTAGCTACGCCACTGCACTGAGCACGTTCGAGGTGGCATGACGTCAGATTCTTTGTACATGAATGGACCTAGCTTGTCTTTTGTTACACAGACCGAACCGGCTCATTGTTACGCAGATATTCCTAATAACAAAGACTGATTGCGAAATCAAGCGAAAGACCTAGGCCTATTTTGCAATACATAATTTGTTCGTAGTGGTAACTGTAAGGTATGGGTATCTTGCAGTGTGTGGATTAATCAATTACAAGTAAGCTTATTCTGGTCGCTGGATAAGTCCACACGTATAATAATGACGGAGAGAAAGTAATGCTGCACTTACTTCCGTGTGAAAATGTACTTATGCTGCCGTCAACGGCATTTCCAGCCGCATAGTAACCCCCGCTTTGGGTTGCAGGCTTGCCGATAATCGACAGAGCTGCGTAAGGTAAAGAGGAAAAAAGAACCCAAGATAATGAATTATATTCTGTTACTTTGTCAGCGTGTGTTTAAGTTCACCGAGGAAGCCATATTTTCATAATTTCCTCACATTGCAACTATCATAACATTTTGTTAAGTTTAAGGTTTTGAAATTCAGATCTCATTACTCATAGACGCATTAATTGTTGCACGGAACAAGCAAAACTGGTTTACCTTGGGAGCTTGTAATGAGGCGTGCATTTCGAAATGTGAAGAAATTAATATTGCTTAATCTTTACCAAGATAATTTGCTTGACGGAAAAAGATGTTTTTGTGCATGTTACGGCGGAGCAGGAATAAAGACGGTTTGTGCCAAGCAGTGGAGACCTTTGTTCTATACTCAAGGTTATGCATTGTTGCACAAAACAAGCGAAACTGATTTACTATGGGAGCTTGTAATGAGGCGTGCATTTGGAAATGTGAAGAAGTCGCTTCACCTTTTCCAAGATAATTTGCTTGAAGGAAAGGGATTTTTTGTGCATGTTACGTCGGAGCAGGAATAAAGACGGTTTGTGCCAAGCAGTGGAGACCTTTGTTCTGTACTTAAGCTTATGCATCCAGACAAGTGTACTGGTAGCCATGCCAAATTATGGCGTCTGTTAAGCTGGTGGAGATAGGACCTCTGCCACGAACCACATACTCAAATTGCCTTTCCACAGGCGCTGCGTTCACCTACTGTTTAACATTATTTATTTATATCCAGCCGAGAACAACGTACAATTTAAGCACGTACATTAAGCATGTACAAGCATTTAACTTCAGCCATTATTACAGGCATTGGCTTGTCAATGGCAGATGCTGAAAGGATACTTTGAAACACTCAAATGTAATTAGGTAAGAGTAAGTAACCGAAGCAAGGAGCAAATTTAACATTTTAAATTATATGTAATCATAAGAACATAACGCTCAATCTATGAAAATATGAGTACATTATGTACTTCATATTCAAAACAGCCAGGGAATTAGCAATATAAATATGTGAACAAATATCAAATATACAGATCAAATTGATTAAGTGAAAAAATTGGATGGTCTACTTGCAAAGAAAGACCTTGTATCATGGAAAACCTAGAGACGCGAAACAAACATCGGACATTGGGGAACCTGGAAAGGACCGTGACAAAAAAAGATAAAACGGGAACAAGACAAATACAATGTAGGAAATGACAAAGAACAAAACGATGTCAACTACCAGCATGTAGTTCCATACCCAGGTTACACGTTCATTTTAAATACAATAAAAGTTCCCCCATGCATCACAAGCATCTAATTTGAGGCGAGCTCATCTAGAAAGGAACGGAATTTAATTACCTGCTGCGAAATTCATAATTACACGAACGAATCGGAAGCCTAAAATGACTTCATATTTCAACCAAATGAATAAATAAATAAACAAACACAGATCCTGTTAATGCCTTCCATGCAGCAAATAATAGCTGCGTTGGGTTTTCGAATAATTATTAACGAAGATCAGCGTTTAGTCAATCACGACGAGCAAACGCTGTCGCTACAACGGTTGTTTGGTGAGCTACCGTATGTAAGCCTATGTGTGTTTTCATAAGTTTGTTTTACCTCTTGCTTCCTTTTGAACAAATTGCGATATTTAGCCTGGATGAAATGTCAGAAATCCCAGAGAACAAATGGGGTTTGCTGATTCAAAATGGGGCACCGTTTCACGATAAAGGTCCACTTTTTATCAACCGAAAATAACCAAGAAGAATTCACCATATACGCGTCTCAGTGCTGACTTGCTGTAGTATGATATGGCGGAAGGCATTCTGCGCTGCAGTTTACTGTAGTCGTTTTTCTTCTGTTTTTGTTCTGAGCAAAACTGCAATTTAATATCCAAATATCTGAACCACATGGAAGACTTTTGAGAATTTCACCGGAGCCTTCAGTTGCATGAGCTTAACCATTCGATGTAGCAAATAAAGAAACATTTTGTGAAGGGCAATCTAATTGAATTCAAGTAAGCCCGTGTTGTATTTTTAACGTGAATTTTGCCTCGTTCTAAATTTGAATGTGTATCCTGGACGTAAATCTGCGGGATCGAGGGGTGGATAAACATCTCCCCACTTTTTGGCCAGGAGGATGGGGTTTCGAACCACCCCCACTTTTTCGGGGTAAGAAAATGTTAAGGTGGATTGTGAAGAATTTTTCGAACTTGAAACAACCAAACTGTATATTCAGTACTATAGCATTCAAAAGAGAGAACGACGAAGAGCCATCAATATGCCGCTCTGATGTAAGATTATACAGAAATGTATTACATATCATGGACGTACATCTGTATCATCAACATGTCATATGGTGTCAGCCCCCCTTTAAATTTCCATGGCCTTACAAATTATCCCCCCAATTCCCCATCCCCACCCCCATTTTCTGGCTCAAATTTACTCCACTGCATGAGGTGTTCAACACCATGGACCATTAGTTTTTTTTCGGGATTTTACCATTTCTGTTGTAACTGTAGTAATTGTTTACTCGCTTCAAGCACACGCTCAGCAACGTGTAGGTGGCAGATGAAAAATTCAATTGTAGATTTTAAACTTTTGATCAAAACGCCTGGGGGCAAATGTCCGAGAAAACCTGTGACCACGGGCGTCGTTAGAGGGGGTAGGGGTGTGACGCCCAAGTCAGTCAGTTTAGTCAGTCAAAATGGAGAAGGAAGGGGTAAGGGGGTAGGTGACAGAAGCGTCAGGTCAGGGAATCAGACTGCTGTTGCACCCATTTTTCGTGATGGCTCCTCCCATGTAGCATGGCCTTATGATGCCCGTGCCTGTTACTTGCAGAAACTTTGCTATGAACATATGAACTGCCAGATATTGTATATTTATTATATATCAAGCGTGGCTTCTAAATCCCTTTTTCTTTCTAAACCTATTTTATAAGGCAAGTAACAGATTATTGAAAAGGCTACAAACTAATAAATGACACGAAAATGAAACTGGGAATAGAAATAAAATTAAACCTGGCATGATGCCTTTAGTTTCATCAGCTTGAATTCGAAACATACCACATAGGAATGCAAAGAAATGAAAATTCTTAATATCAACGACCACATAAAACGAACGGCAGAAAAAGAGATGAGAAGGCTTGAAGTACAATACAGACGATGTGATCTTTTGAAGATGAATTCGAACGACATTTTTACGAAGTAGACTGGTGGAAACCTACAATAAATCAAGACCTACCTTGGAGCGCACATCGTGCATTTTGTACACAGCATGCCTGAAACGCCAAGAAAAGGACGAAGAAATCTTTGGTTTGCCAACGACACCGAAGGCTAGTTGCCTCGCCCTTGTTGACTGGTCGCCACATCGAGACCCCAGCCATGATCAATTGTACTGCCTGCTCGCATCTCTCTTTACTCGACAATTTCACGTCGCAAACACACAAGGTCCTCAATTATTAATCATTTTCACATTGTATTCCGGTTCAAATATAAAACGCAATGATCCCAAAGAGGCTCCTATTTGATAAGGCAAACTGCGTCTAGCGTTACCATGGAAGCAAAAGCAGGCTACGGAATTTGTGGATGGGAGGAAATATATGAGGGCCGTTTGCCATATGTACTGCATCCGCATACTGTAAATCAATGATCTGTGAACTGCCGGGAGACATTTTACAGTTCTAATGAGAAATAGAGCCGAAGGCATTGGCATTAGATCAAGTCCCGTTAAAGGAGCAGCAGACCAACATTAATCCCAGGAGCTTCATGAATGACTCAAGGTCGTTTCTCTCGCGGACCAACTATGAAGGGTACCATTTTTTATACTGTGCTTGTTTGCTCGACTAAAAGTTATATATCAATTACACCTAGTAAGTCACGTGACCTATTGTGAGTATCAAACATCAACGAACATGAGTGTCCCCTTAGGAAAGTGTGTCATAAGTGTCATGCACCAAAAAAGTCGACGGTCGGTAAAGTACTTAGACTACTAATGGGCTGATATGCTGAGTTTTATACCGAAAATCGTTTTTAGTTTTGGTAGACAACACTTAAAAGACATTTTCTATTGGAGGATGCCACGTTTGTAGATATTTTAAACTCAATATAAATCACGTGACTGAGCAGGGGCAATCGGTCTATTGGGGATTGTTCTCGTTATTGAAACGATGTACGTATAGCCCTCGACCCACGCTTCTCTATGGCATTTACTCTTCCAAGCATAATGACGACCCCTTATGGCAAACTTTACACATTTTCGTTTTTTTTTCTCCGCTTTTTGGCTCGGGGTATATTTTTAGGGTGATTTGACTCAAGGGTCCAGAACTTGTGTTGCAACTACTTTAGCAAAGACACACTCCTCCAGATGGTGAACAAATGAAAGAAAACATAGAATCCAATTATTCCAGGTACTAAGGATAAAGCAAAACTTAGAGGCGCACCCAAGGGCTCGTAGGGGGTGACGCTTGAGCCTCCCTGAGGTTTTCATTAATACAATATACATCGTAGAGGTGTTGAACTGCTTGCTTGAGTCCTGCAGCCTGGGATGTGTCATTTCCCCCGGTGTGCAGGCGTGGAATACATAGTGCGGATCTCTGCACAAAATAAGTCCACACAATGTAGGGTATGATGGCGTTGGGTGTGTGGGGGTGTGTGTGGGGCCGGGGGAGGGTGGGCATTGAGCATAATGAGCTATTCGGGGTAAATTCGGTCAAGGCCCTCCCACAAATTCTGGTAAAAAATGACACACACTCGGAGCAGTAATGTAAATGATTGGTATCATAGAGGAGAATCCCTGTATGCTGGCAACATTTCCAGAAATTATTACCACTTCCAGGAAGGGTGATATGCTTTCTGTCTGTCTGTTTATCGGACAGGTTAGGTTGTCTGTTTGGTACAGGATATTTCAAAAACTTAGCGATCAACTTTTATGCAATTCTGACTGTCCCATCGAATCCAATTTTGGTGGGAAAATAGATAATGTTTTAAACATCCAGACTCGGAAGAGTTATCAAGGTGATGTCACTTGATGCTGTCATTTTTTTCTTCTCACTAAAGGAGCTAAACACGACCTGCATTGATTTATTGTTTTAATATGCAGACAAGGTATATTCGGTTTAGCCTTGGCGAAAGTAGGAATGCTCTGCCGAGTATTTTCTAGTTTGGGCGTCACTATGGAGGAAGGGGGCGTTTGCCCCAACAGGTAATGTGAAAAAAGATAATGATAAGAAAAGGGAAAAAAGGGAAAGAAAATCACCAATTTCCTAGAAAATGTATAAATTGGCATAGATCCATTCAGTTACGTTAATTAGCGGTCTGACTGCTACTGATGATGGCCTCCCCCTCCAGAAGACCTGTTTCATTTTCCCTCTAGTTTTACACGATTGTAGGTCTACTCGGCTAAGGGCCGACTCAGTCAGGGGGTGAGTTGGCGGAGGGGGGGGTGAGGGGCGAGTTGGTAAGGGGCGAGTTGACGTGACACCCCTTTATATCATTTGACTTGGTCCCATTAGCAGGGCGCAGAGTGTGTTGACTTAATCCCGTTACTTTTACCCGAACACGAAAAATCTTTCAACAATTTTTGCATTGTGTTTGGAAATATCTGACGCACCAGAAAATTCGTAACAGGATTTTGCAACTTTTGCCCTATGCAAAGATTGGAATATATTTTCACCAGAACTAAGGGATTTTTTTGGGGGGGGCAAATATTTTAACGTTTTTCTTGTAAATTTGTATGGCTTTTCTTAGGCGTAAGGTTACTTTAAGTACTTTTTACGCACTTTTGGAAGGAAGGCGAATGAAATATAGGTCCCAAAATCTCATAGTGAGAACATGGCACGGGGGGGAACACAGTCCTTGTTTTCCTCCCTAAAGATTCACTCCAGCAGTCGATATCAGAAAGTGATGAAAGATTGCTCAATAAATTGTAAAGGACAAAAACCTTCTACCATATGCATATGCAACAGAAATTTCTTAATTCCTTCACAAAATCGAGGTCCACAACAAAATACTGTTTGTTTTTTTAGCCTTTCGAAGGATTATGATTTTGGAAAATCATGAAATCGTCTTGAAAACTTAAAACACAGACATCAGTGTCTTAATTTACGAACTATAACCCGGTCATTTGGCGGGACAATCATGAAGCAGTCAGTGTAAAACTGACCCACTCAGTTGTGTCATCTTTAGTGACTCATTCTTGCATTCTTTTTGAATATTTCAGTATTTAATGATAAATTTATGCGTTTCGTTTATGACATTTTAGCAATTTATGTAGCATAAATGTCAGTTCTATGCACCCTGCTCCCGAACGAATGGCTGTCCTCTAGATCTGTGTACGATATCTTTGATCATCGTAGACAGTGTGCAAACAGTTCTACAAACACTCGCAGTGCAAGGATCGTTTACATAAGCTGTTGAACCGACGTTCAGCGATAACATACAGAAAACACGAAGAGCAAAACAGATGAGTGTTCAATTCAGAGCAGAGTGTTTAATTGCTATACACCTTTTTCTTTTCAGTTGACATGAATGCATGAATTAACATTGAGAATCTCAGCATGAAAGAGCGCACTGCTGAATTTTTCTGGTACTTAAGGGGCAGCGCGGAGGCCATTAACATATCGTACACGAATTACAATAATTTTCTGACGGTGTTTTACATTAATTTGTGTTTGACAGTTTTTAACTATAAAGATGAAAATAAATAATCGCAGCTCATTTACATTCATGAATACCTAAGACAGTTCAGTCATTCCCAAAAGTTGCCATTTAACATTATTCAGATCATATCCAGCATGGAACCACGCCGTGCAGCGGAGCCCCTGCTAGTTGGCCCCGGAGACCCGTAGCCTGTGGCACCTGCGCAGTAGGTTTGTTTTGTTCGTTTGGGGCGGCGTTGCCAAGGACATGAGTGGTGTTTGGAAAGAGTTACCTTGATTTTGTCAGGTGTGAGAGAACCCATAGTCGATCTACGTTACAGTATCATCATTAGCAAAAATTTTTTTACTAGCTGACTTGAGGCTTTGAATAGTATCAGGAATAAAAAGAAGAGATAAAATTAGTCCTATGCCACCTACCCTTGACGTACCGTAGTCCAATTCGCCATGGTAAGAATCTATAAATTGGCAGTGCTTTCTATCAGATATGAAGCTATACTAAAACAATTAATGCTCATTCGCCACTATATTATACTCTGTACACCATACAATTATATCACCACTATACCCTATTACTCCAGTTAAAAAAGCAAGGGTTCACGATCAATGTATCAAAGCATTCAGATATATCAAGACATTGAGAAAACATTAATTCACGTTCATTACACGCTTCATAAAAATTCTTGCATCCAAAACACCCTTGAAGGCTAAA